GCCTACCTCCACCGCAGCAACGTGCTCCATGGGGACCTCAAGGTGGGACGCCCTTTGCCCCCATCCAATATCACGGGGGCCGAAATTGTGGCGTTGCGACTCATGCATGGTGGCGCGACTCGCACGGGGCGGCTGTTCTGGGTGGACGCCGGCAGCCCGTCTGGTAGCCAGCCACTCCCCCGAGAGTGTGCGTGTGCGCGTGTTTGTCCCCGGCCGGGGCCTTTGCCAAGGGCCAGCCCACAAAGCCAGCTGGGCGCTACTTACGAAGCCGGGCGTTCTCCCCCGCTTGCCCGCCCCCAACCTTCTCCCTCGTCGCCGCCGGCCCCGCCCCGCCCCCGCCAGGCGGCCAACGTGCTGCTGCAGAGCCGCTCGGAGGCGCCTTATGGCTATGTCGCCAAGGTCTCCGACTTTGGCCTCAGCCGAGTGCTCAACGCCGGCGCGACGCACCGGTCGACGCGCACGTTTGGCACCATCACCCACATGGGGCCGGTGAGAGAGCCTGGGGACTCCCCAGGCCCCGTCTCGCATGCGCTCGCGCCCCCCCTGTGCCTCCCGCCGCAGGGCTTCGTGGCGTCCTCGGTGTGCGCGTGCCTGCCCTCACCTGCGTTCAGCAGCAGGCTTCGCAAGCCCCTTACCACTGCACGAGGCTGGCCGCTGCCGCCACGGCGCCCGGGTGTCGCCGCACCGCACGCCGGCCTCAGCTGCCTGGCCCCACCCCGGCACCCCGCTGCGCCCGCCCAACGCCCTCGCTCGCAGGAGGTGCTGCGATTGGGGAAGATCAGCCCCGCCGCCGACGTGTACGCCTTTGGTGAGCGACCCCATCCGCCCCTCATCAAGCTTTTAACCGCCTAACCCCTTTCGCCTCCCCTCCCCTACACTCAATCCCTCCTCTGCGGCTGCGGTCAAAAAGGCGCTCTCGCGCACGGGTTGCTCCGCCGTTGCGCCCTGTCCCGCCTCGCCGCGCACGGCGGCTGGCCGTCCGCCCGCCCAAGCGCCCGACCCCGACCCCGGCTTTTTGCGCCGCGCCGCGCCCTGCGCAGGCATCCTGATGTGGGAGCTCTTCACAGGCAGCCTGGCTTTTGGCAGCATGCACTATGGAGAGGTGCGCGGACGCGATCGGGGCCTGAACCATACATTCGCCCCCCGATGTCACCTCTCTGCTGCGAGCGCGGCTGCCGGCTCTCGTGCATCGCCCTCTGCCGACGGCCGCCTGCGTCAGGCCTTGCTCTCCATCCCAGCCGAAACGCCGGGGTCCCCCCCCAATGACTCCCCTGTTCAACCCGGCGCTCCCCCGTCAAACGGGCTCGCCGGCCCAATACCTCATCCCGCCCGCGCCGCCCCTCCACAACAAACCCTGCCCCCAGGTGTTTGAGCGGGTCGTGCTGCACGACGCCCGCCCTCCCCTGCCCCCGGGCATGCCCGAGCCCTTTGAGCTGCTGATGACAAGCTGCTGGCACTCGGACCCGCTGCGGCGCCCCGCGTTCGATTCCGTCCTCAGGTGGGGCTGGCGCCGGGGCAGCTGCGGCGGGGCGTGCGGCTTTGCGGCCGCGCGTGCTCCTGACGCAGCGCGCGGCGCCGCATGAGGGCGCTGCTTCCTTGGGGCTGCCCGTAATCAGGGGTTGTCCGCTGGCCGCTTGTGACGCACAAATGTGAGCATCCGGCGTGCTTTTTGGTTCATTTGTCCAAGGGAGATCAGATCGCTCAACCTTGGAAACGCGTACCATCCCAGGTGCTTGCAGCTGATGCTTCAAGAGGAGCAGGTTCAGGACGCCCATGCCGCCGCCGCACCCTCCGCGCCGCCGTCCGCGGGCGCCGCGGAGCACTCTGGCGGCCCGGGCGCCGGCCCGGCCGACGCGGCCGCGCGGCGCGGGGCCGGCGGGGAGCCCGCGAGCGGCTCGGCCCTCTCGAACAGCGTCTTCATCAGAGACCTCTGAGCGCGCCTGGGGGCGCCGCCGCGCGGCGGCGCGCCCCGCGGCTTGTGAGGCCTCTTATCGAGGGCTCTGACTGGCTGGCCGCGGCCTGCCGGCGGGCCGCCCCATTTCTGGGACGATGGTCTTTTGCTGCAAGACGAGTATGGAGCGGCCCTGCCCAGGGAGGGTGTCTGTTTCGGAGCTGAGGAGATGTCAGACGCGCGCCTTGCGCGCGTGCATGCATGCCTGCTACTTTGGGGCGCCTGGGGCTGTGAGACCGCCGACTAGCAGGTGTGGGTTACAACAGCACTGCGGGCGCGCGAATAACGGCGGCTGCCGCCGCTGCACGTGTGCATGCACTCTGGGCGTGTGTCTGAGGGGCCCTGGCATGACCGCGTCCCCGTTCCCCCCACTTATGGGGCTCCACTCTGCGCACATCGATGCGGGGCCGGCGGGTCGCGCGCGTGTGCCAAGGCGCGTGTCGCGGCCCCGGCCTCGCCTTCTGGGCCCGTACTGCACGCATCCGGTTGGCATAGCGGCCGCGGGCGCGCGCGGCCTTCGCATGCGCGTCGTGTCGCGGGGCGCGTGCCGGCAGCAACGCGACTTGGCTCTGTGCTGCGACCGCGGCCCTCCTTGGGGCCGCGCTGTGGGCCTTCTTCCGGCCGAGTGCCCTCACGCTCGGGCTGTTTCCGGGGCCTGTCTTCTGTGCCCATCAAATTTCTTTTTCAGGGCCCGTTTCCGGGTCTCCCGCCGGCGCAACTCCACTTATCCTCGGCATTTCAGCGGTCGCGCCGCCCCGGCCCCCGCCGCAAAAGAGGGCCAGCGCACGCCGCACCGACGCACGATGCGCGGCGCGCGCGCGTGTGCGCACGTTGTGTGAGGCGTGCACGCGCGCGTTTGCGCACGCGCAAACGTCGCGCGTGTTTGCTGGCGTGCATGAGCGCGCCCCGCCCCGCGAGGTGTGCGAATTCGGGCGGCTTTTCTGTTCCTCTCTGTCTCGCTGCAAGGCCGGTGGGGGTCGCCGCCCGGCGGCGTGCGACCGTCCCGGCGCGATGTTGCGGCTTTCATAGTGCTTGCCTGGTCACAGCTGTCATTTTGAGACGCCCCGGAGGCCGTGAAGGCCGCCACCGCCGCCTCGCACCATGCCACGAACGGCCCGTGGGCACCCACCCAGGCTGCCCCCTGGCCACCGTATTGCAAGGACTCCTGGCGCGCGCGCGCGTGCTCTTAAATCGAGCCGCAGCGTCGCGCAGGCCCGACGCGCCCCCGCATGAGCAGCAAGCCGAAGGGGCCATGCTCGCGCGCACCTGCAATGTCGGGCGTGGCCGATTAGAGGTGGCACGCCGCATGGGTGCACGCCGACGCATGCTGGCCGATTCTTGGTTGGCCAGGGCGGCGTGCGCGCTGCACTGGCAGCTCCCAGCCGCGGCTGCTGCTGCGGCTGCGTCGTTCCCCGGGACGCCGTCGCTGTGTGCCTCAGCCTAGTCACTTTTGTGGCTGTGCGCTGCAACGTCCCCCTATCTGGGTCCCATCTGAGCAGCCCTGTCCGCTCGCAGTGTCGATAGGCCCCACCCCCCGTCGTCGCTGCGTCGCCGCACCCCGGCGGCGGGCCCGCCCACGCGCGTCGCGGGCGTCTGCGCCGCGCGCTGGGCGGGGCGCGGCGCTCTGTTTCGGAACCCTCACACCCTTTGTTGCCCGCTGTTGCCGCCGGGGCATGCGGGGCCACCTTGACCGGCCGCTAGGCAGCGCCGCTCGCGGGGCCTGCTGCCTTGCCCGCGCCGCCTCCAGCTGCCCGTCCGGGCTACCTCCACCCCCCTTGCCACTTCAACCCGCCCCTGCCGCAGTCCACACGCAAAGACGCTCGCCACGCCCCCGCGTGGGGACGCATGGCATGTGCGCACCCTTCAGCCCCTCCTCGGCCCGTTCCACCTTGCGCAGGCATCTCTCCAACTGCAATCCCAATGTTGTCGCCCCGCACCCCTGCTCTAGTGGTTATTGCCTCAATTTTACAGATCACTGCACAGATCTCTGGCTGGCGCAGATCTCTGGGGCCCAGAGATCTGCGGGACTGGAGGAAAGCTTTGCACACAGCCACCCCGCTCGACGGGCGGGCGTGGCCGATTTCCGCCATCAAAGCACTGTGGTGTGAGCGCGAGCGGCCCCCGGCGACCCCTCCCTCATTGATCCCACCAGAACCGACCACTTGAGCGGCGCACGCAAGGCACTCTCACGCACCGCACGCGCCCGCGCCGCGCGTGCCTGCGCGCGGCGCCCATCGCGCGCTCTTATCGCAACCCCACTTGACTCGGCTGTACGACTCGTCTGTACGACACGCACATACCTAAAACCTCACCAGAGCAACGGATTGAGAAGGCCTCATCTGTGCCGTTTCCTACTCAGCTGTAATACAATCGCTAACAGAGGTTGCGTGACCGACGGCTGACAATCGTCGCCCGTCCAGCAGCAAGACGAAAAGTCCCCACCTACATACCCCCACGCCGCACGCCCCGACGCGCCCACGAGCGTGGTCGCTGCGCGGCCAACCAGGCGCAAACGCGGGCGCAAACCGCGGGGCCGCCCGTCAAAAGCCCCGCCCGGCGCTGCTGGCGGCGGCGGCGGCCGCCCTGGCGCGCCGCTCCACGTGCGCCAGGGCAGCCGCGAGGGCGCCCTCTATGGTGAGGTCGGTGGTATCCAGCACCAACGCGTCCCCTGCCGGCCGCAGCGGCGCCGCAGCGCGTGCCGCGTCGCGGGCGTCGCGCTCGCGCATCGCTGACAAGACCTGCTCATACGTAGGCGGCGCGCTGGCGCCTGCGCCGGCGCCGCCCGCGGTCGGGGTCGCCGCCGCCGCGGCCGTCCCTCCTCCCTCCTGCTGCTGCTGCTGCTGCTGCTGCTGCTGCTGCTGCTGCTGCTGCTGCTGCTGCTGCTGCATGCTCTCCACCTCCACAAGCTCTGCCAGGCGCCGCCGCGCGCGCACCTCGAGGCTGGCCGTCACAAAGAGCTTGGCGTCCGCGTCGGGGCACACCACAGTGCCGACGTCCCGGCCGTCCAGGACGGCGCCTGCGAACGGGTGGAATGATGGGATCAGGCACTGAGTGGCTGAGCGCCGGTGCATATGAGGAATGCGTCAAGAGAGGGGGAGGGGAGGCGGCGGGGCAGAGAGAGAGAGAGAGCCGCGGTGCGCGCCGGTCACAACCCATCCAGCTGTGAGTGTTGGCGGCCAGGGCAGGCGCTGCGGCCGCTGCGGCCGCCCCGCAGCCGCCCATGGGCCGGCCGGCTCTCGCGGCTGGGTCGACTGGGGTGTGCGCCGGCGGGTAGCAGCGCGCAGGGGAAAGAAGGCACAAGCTTGCCTTGAGCAGAACGAAGCCAGGGGGATTGGCCCTCCAGCTGCACATACCCGATAAACCCGCCCTCATATCATCATGATGTGCAGCTTGCGCCTCACATGGGTGGGGAGCCACTGTTTCCTGACCCTGCGCAGCACCCACCTTTGAACGGTGCCGGCGGCCGCCGCGCAAAGTCCCTCTGCGCTTCCAGCAGCGCCGCCCTCACGCGCGGCAGCGCAGACACCTGGGACGCCGCCTGGCCGACGCCCTCGCCCCGCAGGCGCGCAGCGTCGGCGGGCGCCGGCGGCGGCAGCGCGGCGGCGAGCGCGGCGAGCGCGGGCTCGTCGTTGAGGGCTGTGCCCGCGTCCAGCGCCGCGAGGGCCACGCGGCGATAGAGCAGGCCTGCGTGCCAGCGCCGCGTGGCGGTGTGGAGTGCATGGGTGGGCTCGCGGCCGGCGCGGGGGGCAGGGGGGCGCGGGAGGCTGGCAGGGGTTCAGCGTAGCGGGGCGCCTCTGCGGGTGGCGCGTGCCGCAGGCGGCGGGTCGACGCGGCTGGCTGGCCGGCGGGGCGCGTCCGTGTTGCTTGAATTGCAGCTGCATCGCTTGCAGCATAGTGACGGCGGATGGTGTTTCGGCAGGCCCCCCGCAGGCGGACAAGTGGCTGGCTCCCCTCGGGCTGGCTCCCCTCGGGCTGCTGCTACTGCGGCGGCTGCTGCCGCTGCTGCTGCTGCCGACGCCGACGCCACACTGCCGCTGCCTCTGCTGCCCCTGCTGCGGCCTCTTGGCGAGATCGCAGCAGCGGCGCTCCCGGCTGCCGCGTCTGGGCTCCAGCTCCCACCTGTATCTAGGTGCGCCAGCCCAAGACGCTCGGCAAGCAGCCGCGCAAGGGTGCCCTTGCCGCTGGCCGCCGGCCCATCAATCGCGACGACGAGCGGGGGCCGGGTGGGCACGCCTGCAGGGGTGCTGGCGGCGGTGCCGGGGCATTGGGCGCGAATTTACCAGTGGTGACGTGCTCCCCAGGCCGATTTCGCACCTGCCATGGCCCTGCTGCAGCGACTTAAATGTGCAACTGAAGCCTGCCGTGCTGCTAGGAGCCGCACGGCCATATGGCTAATCAGAGTGGGGGTAAGAAGCCCAGTCCTCAGCCCGCTGCAGAGCAAGACCTGCACCCACAACTGCCTGCAAGTGGTTCAAAACACCGAGCATGAGCGTGCAAAGCTCATTGATAGAATAAATCACACACGTTATATGGAGCTCTTGCAACGCAGTCCTGGTACTGGCGCGTGTGCAAACGTAATGATCTGATACCCCAGTGCCCCGTCTGTGGGTGACTGCAACCACCCATATGGCACGCCATCACGAGCACCCGCCCGCTTACGGCGGCCGCTGCTCATGGCTATTCGGCTGGGTCTCGCCGATGGTCGCCACCGGCTATTCGCGGCAGCTGCAGGACTCGGACTTGCCGCCGCCCCCGCCGGGCGCGTCGCCCGCGGAGTGCGGGGACGCGCTGTGGCGTCAATGGGTCAAGGTGCGGGCGCGCCTGTCCGCCGCTGCCCTGGCAGGCGCAGAGGGGGGCCCGCCTGGGGCGCTCCAGTGTTGACCCCAGGCACAGCTGCAACAAGTAATGGCACCGAGTTGCAAATCGCTCATGCATCCGCATTCGCGTTCGGCACGTGCAAAGATCGCCCGGCATGGATCAATCACGCATGCGCGGCGCACCCTGAAAACACCTCCCTCCCGTCATTTCCAGGAACTCTCCCACGCCGCGCCAGACGCGCCGCGCTTCGGCGCCGCCCCCGCGCCGCGCCCCCGGCGCCGCCCCTCCCTCCTCCGCGCCCTCGCGGCCGCCTACGGCTCCGCCTATTTTCCGCTGGCCCTCCTCAAAGCCCTAAACGATGGCCTCATGCTGCTCATGCCGCTGCTGCTGAAGCAGCTAGTGCAGCAGATCGACTCCGCGGCGCCCCCCAGCGACCCGCCACCGAGCCCCCCCACGGGCGCGGCCGCGGCTGCGGCTGCTGTGTTTTTGGGGCCGAACGCAGGCTATGTTTGGGCGGGGCTGCTAGGGCTGGCGGCGGCGGCCAAGGCGGTGCTGGGGGCGCATTATGAATACCGGATGAATGTCGTTTCGAACAGGTGGGGGGCGGGCGGCGGGAACGGGCTGCGGCGGGGGCGCGCGGGCAGGCGGCGGGTTTGCGCTTTTCGTATGGACTGGGCGGTCGCGGAGGCGCGCGTATGCCACCCACCCGCTCAAGTTTCTTAGCCCAAGGAAGCACCCCATCGTTGCCTGCGTTCGCCCTGGCCTGAAGGGCCCAGGGCGCCGCCGCCTCCACCGCTCCTCTCTGCACCCTTGGACACCCAACAATCGCCGCTCGCGTCCCCTTTGCAGGCTGCGTGCGGGCCTGATGGCCTGCCTGCACACCCAGGCCCTCCTCACCCGCGCCGCCGACGCCGCCGGCGGCGCCGACGCGGCGACGCTGATGGGCGTGGACGCGGGGCGCGTGGTCAACCTGGTGCCCAGCTTCCAGGAGCTTTGGAGCCTACCCATACAGCTGGCGGTGGCGATGTGGCTGCTGTACACGCAGGTTGGCCCTGCTCGCGGCGCGGGTCGTTCGGGGCGGGCCAGGGCGGGACGGGGAGCAGCCGGGGCCGCGGGCCGGCAGAAGGGGAGGGGGAGGCGGCGGGGACGAGCGGAGAGGCGGGACGCATCGGGGTCTGCAATTCCATGGGGGCGACGGACTGCAGAGGCGGACAAGGGGTGAGCGTGCTTTGTAAGTGGCGCCTGCAGATTTGCCACCTTAGGCCCTTGAGCTGTGTTAACCGGCGGCCGCACACGCACATGTAGGTCCGCTTCGCGTTCGTGGCGGGCGTGGCGCTGTGCGTGGCGATGCTGCCCGTGAACCGAGCGCTGGCGGGGCGCATCCAGGCGGCAAGCCTGAGCATGATGGGCCATAAGGACGCGCGTGAGTGGGGGGCGGGGGGTGTCGGGCATTTGCGGCGGCACTGCTATGGTGGATTCAGGGGCAGATGGTGGTTGAAGCAAGGGGTGGGAGCGGTCGGGAAGGGGGAGGGGGAGCGATGGGCGGCGCAGGTTACGGGGGCAGGGATGGGCCAGCGTTGGCGGGCTCTGCGGGGGCGGCGGGGCCGACGCCGGGGGCGGGGCGGCGTGGGCGCGCGCGCGGCTGTAGGGCGCAAGGGAGGGCCGGGTCCGAGCCCAGGCGAGGGCGCTGCCCCCTCGCACCCCCGTCAAAAGCCTGCCCACTGGTTCAGAGGCCCAGGTCATGGCCGCCTGCCCTCCCCTGCCGCAGTCATCGTGCTGTGCCTTGACCTCTAAGTTTGCCCTTCCTACCTTACTCAACAAAAACAGGCGTGCGGCTGATGGGGGAGATGCTCCACGGCATCCGCGTCGTCAAAGTGATGTCACTGGAGCCCGCCTTTGTGGCGCGCATCGGCGGCGCGCGGGAGCTGGAGCTGCAGCAGCTGGCGGTGGGCTGGGGAGCGGGGGGAGGGCGTGCGCATGTGGTGGGGGGAAGGGGCTTGAACGGCCTCTCAGAAGCCTGCCTTGCCCTCTGCCCTTGACCACGCCGTCTCCCAATGCACCAGTTTTCCTCCAGTGCCGACAATATGAACCTGCGGAAGGGTCAGCCACCACTCTGGCACACTCCAAAACCCCACCCAGCCCAGGGCCCCACTAAACCCTGCCACCACACTACCCAATCCTACCCCTCACGAACCCCAAACGGACACCCCATCCCCGGCCGCCAGACTCCGTCCCGCCCTAGCCCCCGGTCAAACCCCCATGTAATCCCCTTATAAACACCTCGCCCCAAAAAATATCTGACAGGTGCGGAAGTATCTGGACGCCCTGTGCGTCTACTTCTGGGCCGCCACCCAGCTGCTCTTCTCCGCCCTCACGTTTGGCCTGATGGCCCTCCTGGGGCAGCCCCTCAAGTGAGAGGGCCTCCCCCTCTCCCCTCCCCTCCCCCGCACGGCCCCCGCGCCCGACACGGGAAAGGGCAGCGGGGCCGCCGCGCTGCGCGGCGTGGGGAGGGGTGGTGCTGTTGCTGTTTGAACCCTCCTTTTGTTGTGCGGCTGCTCTTGGCTGATGCGAATTCCAGGGTACCTGACCCTATTCGCCTCCCAAAGCTGCGCCAGGGCCTGAGGGATAGCCTGGAGCTTGCGGCGCGCCGCTCACACAACCCCATCCCATCCGCGGCCGCCTCAGCGCACCCCGCCGCGCGCGTCCTCCCGCCCACTTTCCCCCACCCGCAGGCCCAGCGTCGTTTTCACGAGCCTGGCACTCTTTAATATGCTCATCGCCCCCCTCAAGTGCGTCCGCGCCGCGTCGTGCAGCACCGCGCCGCGCCGCGCCGCGCCGCGCGTGTGGGCACCCTACCGCGCACGTCCTCCCAGGCCCTGCGCTCACGCGCAGCACGCAGCTCCTGCTCCCGTCTTCCCCACATCCCTACCTCATCTCCTCCATCATTGCCGACCGTCCCGTCCTGCTGCCCTCCGCCTGCACATCTCCCTGCCCTCAAACCCACCCGCCCAGCGCGATTCCGTGGGTCATCAACGGCGTGGTCGAGGCCTTCGTGTCCGTGCGCCGTCTGCAGGCGTTCCTCACGCTCCCGCAGCGCTCGGCCTCATGGACGTCCCTCCCCGCCCCCGGCGCCGCGCACGGCCGCGGCGCCGCCGCGGCCGCGAGGCCGCCGCCTGGGCTGCCCGCCGGGCCGGCTGGGGCGGCGGCGGCGGCGACGGCTGCGCTCGAGGATCCGGGGCGCGAGGAGGAGCGGCACGTGTTGCAGCGGGAGGGCGCCGTCGCCGTTTTCGAGAAGGCCTCCTTCGCCTGGAGCCACGTGAGGCCCTGCAGCCGCGCACGCCACCCTGGGGCCGGCGGCCGGCGCGCCATGCGCGCGAGCTGCCTGCTCCGCTGAGCCGGCGCTCGGCGTGCCGCGGCGCTCTCGGGTCTCGGACGCGCCTCATTCGTGTCTTGGGGCGGGCACCTGACGCTGTACCTCCGATTCGTTGTCGCTTCTGAGTCCCCGCCCTCCTCCACCACACCCCTGCAAGCTGCCATCGCGTGAACGCTCCCTTGGCCAACCCCTCATCTGTCCCCGCTCTTTACCGTGTCGCCCCTCCTCACCTGACAATCTAAACAGAACCAGCGCCCCGTGCTGAGCGACCTGACTCTTGCTCTTCCGGCGGGCCGCCTCACAGTGGTGGTGGGCCAGGTGTGTCTAGCCCCGCTGGCACCCCGCCCTCAGCGTTCTTCATTCGCTGTGCAGTGCGCACCAAGGGCGAGCGCTGCCCCGCAATCCACCCACGGCCCCGCCAGACTCTTGGGTCGGGCACGGGATTGGGTGTGCATTGTTGATGTTCATGCTCGCTACCGCCACACAAACTCCCTGCCCCCCGCTTCTAGCAGCTGGTCAACCCAACTTTTTTTGGGCCGACTTCGCCGTCGCTGGCGCCCAGCACCTCCGTCATGCATCCAATCACTAGCACCCCGTCCACATCCCACCCTATTGATTCCACCCCATCGGCCCCCCATCAACGCGTCAACCCCACACTGTTCACCCAATCATATTTGTCGCGCTCTGACGATCCCACGGCACCCGCCGCAGGTCGGCTCAGGCAAGAGCTCTCTCCTGGCCGCCCTCCTGGGGGAGGTGGAGCTGTGGTCGGGCCGCGCCCTCGTCGACAGGGCCGCCTTCAAGGGGCGCGGGGGCGCCGGCTACGTGGGGCAGGCGCCGTGGGTGGTGGGGGGCACCATCCGCGACAACGTGTTGCTGGGGGAGCCGTACGAGCCCGGGTGGATGCGGGAGGTGCGCGCGCGTGGGTGAAAATTCCGCAGCCGTGCGTGCGGTGAGGGTGCGATTTGGGGTTGACAAGCGTTGGATGCAGCATGGCTGTGGGATGGAGGGAGGGTCACAATGGTGGCGTGGGGCCGTGGGGCGGCGCGTTGCTTCTGAATCGCTCAGCGAGGCGAAGGGCGGCGGTGGTGGGGACACTGCAGGGACATGACACCAGTCGGGCGACTTGGGGGTGGGCTGTGGGGCGCGTCGATGGGGGCACGCATGGCACGAAGCGGGCGCGCCATGGTCGCCCAGAGGCCGCGCCCCACCGGCGCAGCGCCGCCATGTGGCTTGCCACCTGCTAGAAACAACGCACGTGCACACTCACACACATACACACACATGCGCGCGCGCATGCTCGCACGCACGCACAGGCACACACACACACACAGGGTGTACATCGGGGTGTTATCATACACGCACACATCCATACAAACAAACACCTCTCTCACCACCCCCAATTGGCACTGCACCTGCCCCCCTCTCGAAGGTGCTGCACGCAACAGCCCTCGACACAGACCTCGCTGCGCTGCCGGCCGGCGATCTCACGCGTATCGGGGACCGCGGCAGCACTCTGTCCGGCGGACAGCGGCAGAGGTGCGCCCCGCCCTCGTCATGGCCGCGAAACCTGCAGCCCTCTCGCGCCTAATTTCGCGCCGCTCCCTCAAGCTCGCAGACACGCGCGCGCGCATGTGCACCCCAAAACACACACTCCCGTACACACACACTCGCACCCACATGCACAGCGTGACCCCAGCCTGCACCCCTTCAAACCCGCCCCACAACCGCAGCCGAACCCCCTCGAATCCGCCTTGAATCCGCCTGCAGGCTGGCCCTGGCGCGCGCGCTGTACCGCCGCTGCTCAGTTTACCTATTGGATGACGTCCTGTCAGCCGTGGACAACCACTGCGCCCAATGGCTCATACGCCACGTGCTACTCGGCGGCCTGATCACCTCAGGGCGCCCGGACGGCGGCGGCGGCGGCGGGGGCGGGGGCGGGGATGACCCGACGGTGGTGCTGGTGACAAAGTCTGCTGTGTGTATCCAGGCCGCGGAGCAGGTTGGTGGGGTTGATAGGAAGGTATTTGAATTGTGGCAAGGATTTAGGATGTGGATGTGAGTGGCGGGATTGCAACCGAGCCGCTGTGTGGGCCGAGGAGCACGCACGCGCGCGCACACGAGACACGAACAGACATACGCACGCTCAAACACGCACAACGCACGCACAAACACACACATGCACACACATGCATGCACACACGCACAAACACACACACACACACACACACACACACACACACCTCTGTTCTCTGTCGCTCTCACTTCAAGGTGCTGGCACTGGAAAACGGCCGGCTCGCCTTCGCCGGGGACCCTCGTGACTACGCGCAATGGAAGGGCGAGAGGACGCCGCCACCGGGCGCTGCGGCGGCAAACGGCGCCGAAAACGCGAGGTGCGAGCACAAGCGGTGGGGGCGTGCCGGGCAAGGCAGCGGCACGCATCTGAGCTGTGAGGGGCTGAAAGCTGTTTGAGGCATCGGGGGGTTGAAACGCCGGCGCCCGTGCTGACCCCAGCGCTCTGCGCCCTCGTGCGTCGCCCGCCTTGGCAGCGGCAGCGGCAGCGCGGGCGGCGCGGGCGAGGCGGCGACAGACGCGCGCGGCCTCGCCGCCGCCCTGGCCGGCGCCATCGGAGATGCGGCCACAGACACACCGGCGCCGGGCTGCAGCGCTGACGCGGAGGCCGTCACTTTGGACGACAACCTTGGACGCGCGCCGTCGTCCGCCGCCGACGAGGACGTGGATCCGAGGGAGCTGCGGCGTGCCTCGGACGGCGAGGTGATCTGGCAGCCGCATGCCAGCGAGGCGCCGCAGCTCGAGTCTATCCAGGAGGCGGGGGAGGGCGACGGCGACGGCGATGACGCGGCGGCGGCCGATGCAGCGGCATCCGCGTTCGCGCCTGCCACCGGCGGCGCCGGCCAGCCGCTCGACGCGGCCGTGGCCGTGGTTTCAGCCAACGACGGGAGCAAGGCGGCAGCAGAGGGGGCTGTCGACGGAGGCGACGCAGAGGAGAAGGGGGACGGGGAGGGGCGCGAGGGCGAGGAGGAGGAGGAGGAGGAGGAGAGGGCTGCTGGCGCCGTGAAGTGGCCGGTTTACCGGGCTTACCTGGGTGCGGTGGGGTGGCCCATGGTGGCGGCGGTCGTGCTCAGCCTGGGACTGATGCAGGTGGGGGCGGCGCAGGGCGCTGGCGCGCGCGCGGCGCCGCAGGGTTGGGTGTGGAGTGGGGGCTGGGCATAATCGCTCGCGTGCACCTGGCGGGCGCGGGGCGGCGTGGCTTGTTTTGCACCATTCCATTTCAGGGGCACCCTGTCGCCGCCCTAGAACCTGAGCTGGCGGACGGTCTGCCCTGCAAGCACAGAGCGGCTCCGCTGTGGCACCTTCGATAAACTCTGAATACACAACTACACAATCAATTATTGCCATTATTATTGCCACCAGGCGTCGAAAAATGGCACCGACCTCTTCGTGGCGCACTGGATTTCACGCGCCAACGCTGACGCGGGCGTGGCTGGGGGCGGCAGCCCCCTCCGCTTCCTGCCCTGGGGCCCGGTTGCAGCGGAACCCGGCCTGCGGGCTGCTCTTTGGAGCCCCACAGCGCCGGCTGTGGCGCCGCTTTGGCCACTCTGGATTGAGAGCATCGGCAGCGGCGCTTCGACTGCACTGTCGCTGGCAGACGTGCGCCGGCGTCTGCTCGGCCCCGGCCCCGGGCACGCCGCTGCCTCTGCACACGCCGACCTCTCCGATGGCATCATCATGACGTCGCACGTCCGCGACCTCCTCCCCCCCTTGGACGACTGGGCCCGCGGGTTCCTCACCGGCCTCGCCGTCCTGGCGGGCGCCAACACGCTGTTCACCCTCGCGCGCGCGTTTGCGTTTGCGGTCGCCGGCATGGCGGCCGCGCGGCGCACGCACGACGGGCTGCTGCGCGCCGTGATGCTGGCGCCGGCGGCGTTCTTTGACCGCCACTCGGTCGGACGGATACTCAACAGGTGTGCCGGACCTTGCGTTGCTGACCGGGCGACGCTCTTGTTTCGGGCATCTGTTGCCGCCGCCGCCGCCGCTGCTGCTGCTGCTGCTGCTGCTGCTGCTGCTGCTGCTACCTCTGGTGATTGCGCTGTGCCTTGCGGGGCAGACGCGCTCCTGCCCCTGCCTCAGCGCCGACTGCGCGCCTCACCCGCGCTCTTACCAAAAGCGCCGCCCAACACCTGGCAACTGCCGGCCGCAAAGATTCGCAACATCAAACGCATCAAATTTGCTCTACAAACCGCAGGTTTTCGTCTGACGTGAGCACCGTGGATGACTCCCTGCCCTTCATACTCAACATCCTGCTGGCCAACGCCGCCTCCCTCGCCGGCCTGCTGGCGGTGCTGGCGTACACGCAGCCGGCGCTGCTGCTGGCTATGGCACCGCTCGCGCTGCTCTACAGGTAATTGCTTCCTGCCGGCTGGCCCTGCAGGGGCGGGAGGCCCCGGGCCCCAGCCTCGCATCACGCCCCCCGCCCGCGTCACCTAGAAATGCAGCACGTGGGCTTGGCCTCGGACTCTCGAGCTGGGGGTGCCGCGCACTGCGCCCTTGGGTTCCGCCACTCTCAGCGCGGGGGAATCTCTTCCCGGGCTCGTCCCTCGACCAGCCCTGTCATTGTTCAGCCCCTTGTACATGGGAAGCCCCCTCCCCCCGCCGCCTCAAGGGGATGCCGAACCAAGCTGACACGCCCGCCCCGACGGCTACGCACGCGCACGCGCGCGCCCGCAGGCGCCTGCAGCGCTACTACCGCGCCACCAGCCGCGAGCTGCGTCGCCTGGAGGCCGCCGCGCGGTCGCCGCTGTACGGGGCCCTGGGGGACGCCACCCACGGCGCCATCAACATCCGCGCCTTCCGCGCCCAGGCCGCTTTCGCCAGGGTGCGGACCCCCGCCTCGCCTCTCTGCCCTTGCAGCATCCTTGCGGCCCCGCCACTCTCACCGATCGCTCCGTTCTGCAGGCGCTTTGCCCCTTCGCACCCTGCCATACTTGGGCTCGTGCGCCCCAGCGCCCCACCCCACGCCCGGCTCCCCCAGCTGCACAGCTACCGAAATCCAGCCTCATCGCCACCGCTCCCTTTGCAGGCGTTCACAGCCCTGATGGACCCATACCAGCGCGCCACCCTCGCTGGCGCCGCCGCCTCATCATGGCTGTCCCTGCGCCTCCAGCTCCTCGCCGCCGCCCTCGTCGCCGCCGTCGCCGCG